AAACTGCCCTACCTCACACAAGCTGAATGTATGCACACACACACAGCCAGATACTACAACTGAAAAAAAAAAAAAAAAAAACACACAAAGTGCAAGCCACATCCTCTCCCGTTCTAACTAATGAACTCTAGCCTACCTTACAGTATGAGCCTGCTCATTTGCCTCCTTTACTGCAATAACATGAGCTATTTTTGGCCCTATTGTTTTTGGAGTGATGTGATGATGGAAGAAAGCCATGCCTTTAAACACAGAGGAAGGAAAAGGTATAGGCTCAAGTAAACCGAGGGGGGAAGCCACATTTGCAAGAAGGAAGAATGTTCTGTGCTTTTTAATTGTTAACTGAACAAATCTGCTGAAGCCGTGAGCACCTTAGAGTTGTCTCAGTCTTAGGCTGGAAATCACAGAGGAAGTCTTAATATGGTGCTGACAGAAATAACGGTATCAAACAATGAATATCATTCCTAAAACATCTCCACGTCATTTCTACAAATTAAACTAGACATGTACACTGGACTTTCATACTAGAGCACAATTTCTCCTTTACGAACAGAAAAAAACAATCACACTATGCTCATGCTGCTGCCACTATCTTTAAACTACTCAGTAACATTTTCCGCGGAGCAGCTCGATCCATTACTCTAGACATCAGTCACACTTCAAGACTGTTTTATGAAAAGAGTTGGATGGTTAACATGCATATCTGCAAAGCATCAACTTACCTCTGGTTTCATTCCATTGCAGTGAAAGCTGACAAGACACTTAACAACCTTCGTCAGGCCCAATGAAAACAACCGTAATTATCAGGCTTGAAATCAAAGTTTACACTGGCTGCAAAGGTTTCTCATACCAGCTCAAAACTGGCAAAGGTTGCTCCACCGAAGCACTGAAATGAAAACAAACAGAAGCTAGAGACGCTAGTTCCTCAGCAGTATCTAAAAGATCTACATGCTGATATTTTAATATTTGTGACAGTTTAAATTAGTGTCTGTCTATCTGACAACTGCTTTGTGTGGTTGACTTTCATTGTTGGTGGTAATCTGTAGATTGCTCTACAGAGACTTCCTTTACAAGAGATTTCGATCACAATGAGACTTCCTGAACAAAAAGCCTAACTGACTAACAAAAACCCAAGAATTTTTTTTTTATTTATTTATCTATTTATTTTAAAAAGGGTTTAATGGAAAATTGAAAGCAACACGTGTTGGCACAATGTGACTATGGTGCTATTTTCCAACACATAAGGTTGACAACAAACAAGGCAGCTAATGTGCGTGCACTCCATCATCAGGACAGAGTGCATAGATAGTAGATTACGTAATCTTTGCCAACTTTGATTTGATTGTTGCTGTGAAATGTAATAGACACTTTCTCTTCTTGGCTGCGACTGCCTCATCAGTTTTAAGTAAGCGACGCAAGTACATTTTCCTTCTACTTGCTACGCTGGTATTAATGTGATAAGCAAAAAACAAGAGAGGTCTTCAAGCTGCAACACTCTGCTGAACCTAATTGGCAACAATCTCACTGTTAGGAAATGCATTTCGATATCCAATGCATTCAAAACACATGGAGACTTGTTGCCAGTGTATAAATAACATATCTCACTGAAGAAAGTGTCCCACTATATTACTACATCCACCTTTTTCTTCCATCTCAAGCTCTACCATTATTATTCATATTTATCAGGCGTTAACATGTTATGGTCTACTTGAGATGTAGCCACAGAGATACCAGAGAGCAGTCTCTCACTAGGGGATGGAGGAGACTCTGACAGAGAAGTACACATTCTAGAGAGTCATTCAACATGGAGTGTTTGGACAGCTGACTGGCACAGCCTTCATTCACAGCAGTCAAGTGACCAGGAACAGAACGAGCCGTCAGAACCAAAGGGTTCGGCAAAAAAGAGAGAGAGAAAAAAAAAAATGAAGATCAGAACTTCACCCAAGATTACCTCTCCAGCCCAGTAGCCCCCCAAAACAAAACAACTACATATGTCCTTAGGCTGCAGTAATTGAATTATACAACACAGTCCTGAGCCTTAATACAAATATGTTTCCCGTGTACAAATAGCAAAACGGGCTTTGAAAATTTGCATTTTCAAAATGACTCAATGCCGGAGGCCAAGTACACTCTAAACACCCACGCTGGGCAGAGTCAACAGAAGGAGCCATCTATAACTGCAGGGAGAAATGATACGGGACATAAAAGAGACTCATAGGTTTTAAAAAAAGAAAGACAAACCTGTATTATAAAATCGCATGTTAAGACAAAAAAAAAAACAACACAGACACAGAGAGGCAGGTAGCCAGTGCAATGCTATGTAAAGTACATAAATAAAGCTTGTGATGTTGTTGATGCAGGTACGGCGAACAACTAAAGGCCACACACTAATCAGAGTTTGATGTGCGCTGGGATTAATATGCTGAGACACAAACTGGGGAGACAACTGATAAATAATATATAGTCAGCTTCAGGAATCTTGGAGTGGCAGAATCATTTTCGGCAAGAATGTCTGTATATCTTTTTTATTTATGACATTTCATGAGCATGTCTTTATATTTGTCCCTCTACCCAGCTAGGATACCGTCACATTTGAGCTCTGTCACAAAAAGAGAGAAAACAACCCAAAGATATGTACAGAGAACATACATTTCCATCCAAGAATCACAGCTATTTGAATGCACAGAATTTATGGAACAACTTTACCTACAGGGCCAAAAATAGCTCTTCATTACTGCTAATATCCCCGTTTAACCCGAGAACATGAATATTTGTCCGAACTGAGATGAACTTGTGATCAAACAAACACGATTTTCTTTAAATACTGTGTTTCTCAATGCACAGCAGCTTGTAGACAAGTATATCAAACCTAAACACAATAAATGCAAAGGTAGTAATTAGGAAAGAAATGCTGGACATAAGCAAAACAACATCAAATTAACAATCATGTTGGGGAAATTTGCCAATAAGACATAGAGAAACTTGAAAGATAAACAGAAACTGCATATACACGAATCGAATACAAAAAATTGCAGTCTGTTGTAGAGTTGAGGCTGCTATAGTTATTCCTCTGCTCACTGTCTGAATGTTCATCAGTTTTTAGCCTCCTAAAATGCATTGTGGATACCCCGGAGTAAAAACATCCCAGGTGCATTTCCATGCCCATACAACAGATTTTAAGTATTTTAAAAAATATTACACCCAAGTTAACCAGTCTGTAGTCTTCTTTATCTTTCTTTGCTGGCACATGACTGTATGTTTTGGCATGTTCCCGCCACTGGATTAGTACGACACCATTGGTACGACTGTATCTCGTCAACTGTCTGTCAGTGGCCTGGCATGTGAGCATGCACATCCTTGTGCACGTGACAAACAAAATGGGAACCACTCACAAAAACAAAAGCCAGTTTCAATAGCCCGAGTAGAGGTCAAACACTCCACAGGGAACCTTTAAGCTGCAGTGTGCTGCCATCATACAGTCCAGTGCATTCATCTTTAAATAGCAGCATTAGTGCCACTTTGCTCGTAGGCCTTTCTGACTGAAGACATTTTCACATGACTATTAGAAAACCACAGGTAAAAATAATAATGATGACTTCAGTTTCTGTCTCAGTTCCAGGTTGTTTGTGACAATGGCTTTCTGTCACATCTTTAAAGCTAACTTAAATACAAAAAATAAATGGTCAATGTTATTAGTGACACCGGTGCTCACTGCAGTCAAAATAACTGCTGTAAAAATGGACTATTGAGCATCCTTGGGAATTCCTGTTGCTTAAGAGTTTTGGACAGAGACATCCTCTGAATCCAATGTAAAAATCAAGAGTTAAAAGCCCACATTCACTTTCATATTTTTGCCTAAATGGTCAGGGGAAACGAAAGTATTTCACTGCAAATTTCATCGGTTCAAAAATTGTACATTTAACCATATGATAAACTTCACAAACAACTAAGACGTAAAGATAAAAACATACTTGTTTCCACCTTATAAAAGACCAGCAACCATTGTGATCATCATTGTACTTTGTGACATTTATGTGAGATTCAACTCAAGGGTCTGCTATCAATAACCTTGTGTTTAATCTGACATAAATGTTAGATTAAACACTGGACAGCTGCCACTGTGATCATCACTATACCTTGTGACATTTATGTCAGATTAAACAGAAGGGTCTGCTATCAGCAATCTTGATTGGATTACTGCATTGTATCAACAGGTGCCGCAAAAATGAGGGCACAATCTCTATGGGCCTTTCCTTATCACACACACTCTCATCTCACCAGTCGACCAGCCTGCAGCCTGCTCTTGTGTTGTCACTCACTGGACTCCATTTAAAGGAAAATATTTCATCAAGCTGATAAGCTCCACAGTATTCCCAACATGAAGCCTTGGCTTGGAATTTATCTAAAGGCTGCAATTATTTACACTCTGCTGATAACAGGTCACAAAGACCCATAAACCTGCCCACGCGGACTGGGTTAGCCCTGGCGTTGTAGGCACTCAGCCCTAGGCACAACTAAAACACAAACACACTTGTGTAATAAGCCTGAGCCCAGATGTTTGACAGGACATGTAAAAAGAAAAAACTGCAGTTAATGCTCAGATGAAAGACCGTAATGTTTATGCAGGGAGCAAAACCCAACTGAGGAGTGTAATTATGCAGAAGTGTTGCAACTCTTCCACCTGGTGCTGCAAACTGATAGGGATGAGAGGAGATGAGGACTGGTTACAGGTTTGCTATGCTCTTACGTTACAGTGGGAATAGTGAGCTCAAAGCACATGACACAACTGGTAACGTTTCCTGTTCATGGCAATCCACTGAATACAAAGTGAATGGGTCCGAGGTGAACAGCAACACCTGCTCTCTGACTGGTCACACGTCAGCTCCATGTCTGCCAGTTAGTTCACCAGGCCCTGACTGGAAAACCAACCCCCCCTCCCCTCCAAAAAAACAAAAAAACAACACCTTATATTTGTGTAGTAACCGAGATGACAGGGACCTTACCTTTGCCATTCTGCCATGCTGTGTACCAGGAGAGGCTGAGGAAAGACGTGAAGAAAATAATCGCAGTGGCCACAGTTCCATTTCTGAGCCTCATCTCATTTCAGCGATGCCTCTCCTCGGCTGAGTGTCGGGGACCCCGGAGCTGCCGTTGCCTCCCTCCCTCCGTCTCTCTCTGGCTTCAGGATGGTGAGACGGGCGTAGGCGCAGGCATATGGGCGCGTCAAACGGTAAAACGCTCCAGTTTAGCCGGACTGGTGCGCTGAGAGAGAGAAGGAGGAGGAGGGGGGAGAGGGAAGAGACAGCACGGAGTCTCGGTGCGTCTTTTTCTCGTCGGAGGTGCCTCCCGCTGCTGTTACCGTCCTACCGCGATCAAGTCACAAGTCGTTTTCGTGACAAGCACAGCTTACATGGTCGGCTAACGCGGAGCAAGCTAGCTGCCGATACAACCCATTGTAACGTTGTACAGCCAGTCGTTAGCTACAAGTTACGAGTAGAAGGCATTTCAAGTGGCTGATCCTCCGGGATAGGCTGCTGGCTCTCTGACGGTGTCCGAAAAGGCTACGCCTCAAATCACGTTCATTCCACTTCCAACTGGCAACAGATGAATAGAGAAACCACCGGTGGGGTGTCGCTAACTCGTCGAGCCTTCTCAAGTTTTTTTTTCGTACCTGCCGTGCTAGCCGGTCGACCTGCTGACTGCGACACAAACCGTGTTAGCTAGTTAGCCGTCGAGCTAACATTAAGTTGAAACTCTTGCCGGGGCTCGTCAACCCCACGGACTGCCGAGAGGAGAGCAGCGACTCTTTCTGCCGTCTGTTGGCCGAGTAGTTTCACACGCCGGGCCGTTCACCTCCGTTAACACAAGCCCGAAAACGAATTAGAGCCCATGACTGTTTTCAAACATTATGCATTAGCTAGCCGTCACCCTTAAACTAACTAGCAGCGTCCACCTGTCAAGTCAGCCAGGGTGTACTAACGGTCCTCCGCCAGGGACTTTCAAAATACAGCAAATGTGCCCGTGGGGGAGGTATAGACTGGATGTTCACTACTCAGAGCTGGAATCTGGATTCAGTTATTGTAGCAAGTTGAAATGATCGATCACCTTTGGCTAATCAATGAGACTTATATATTGTATTGTAAGTATCAAATTATGGATAGGAGAGTTGGGTTTTTTGTTTCTTTGCATAAACATTAAATTACTCAACCAAATGTAATGTGCTCCTCATGCTGTTGCATAAATGTCGGATTTTCAGCCATAACTGAATCAATATTGAGTCGACGCTCATCTAAAATAAAAAATTTAAAAAAGTCAGTCTAACCTACACTTTCGCTATTTAAACATTGAAACAGCAAAACTATACTTATTTCCCCATTATCTAAAATTCAATCGAAATCAATTGAAATGTTCTTTAACTTTTTTGTGGTTTGGCAAATTTTCCTCAAAATAATTGTAAAAAATACTTTAACATTTATTGTAAGTCTCACGGTTGTTTATTTTTATTTTTATTACTTTTTTCTGAACATATATCTAACCATCCTCATAAAATTTTCATTAAGAAATAAACCAGAAGTGGTCCAACCTTGTAATAAACACATACTACTCATTAAACCATGTATTATTGGCAAACATTATTAGCTTGTTCAAAGTCACCTTTGCACTCAGCACCATGGATGAGCTTTTCTAAATTAAAACTGCAGTGTAGTGATAACAGCTTTAAAAACATGGAGTCAGACTTCTTGGGTTACATATCCAGTAAACTGAACCCTTTTCTGAATCATTCTTCTTCAGAATTATGCTTCTAGTTCCAACATGTATGACTGGATTTATCTGGAATTACAGCTTGCCATTGTGTAGTGAAGAGTTGTTTGACAATGTTTGAGCAAAGTTGTAGATGAGCTGAGGCAACGGTGAAAAGTGAAGAGTGAAAAAACTCATTTTGACGCATAGAGATCTTTTTTAGGGGTTTAATCAGCGACCGGGGAGCAACATATTGACATATTGCATCACAATTAGCTCCAAACTGGTTGTGATCTCATTAATAATGCTTGTAAGCCACTCCCTGGAAATGGCATTGAAGAAACTTTCTACTCTGCTGAAGGTGTAAACAGCTCACAAGTGTCAACGTCTCCACAGACAGGTTTCACCACTGTAAAGCTTTGAACTTTGAACTGTAGAAACAACAGAAAAACACATTTATTTCACCAGGTTGGGTGTGGTTAGATTAGTTTCGCTCTCATTAATGCCATCCCCCTTACTCTGGAATGTGACAGAGGCACTTGTTCATTGTGTTGCTGAAGGCTGACTATTAACCTAATGTGACAGCAACAAGACTGGCATTAAATCCATGTTAACAAGTGAAGAACCTTGGAGTCAGCTTTGACTCAAGGCTCAGTTTTTAGCCTCGCATTTGAAACATAACCAAGAATGCATTTTATCATTTGAAGAACACGGCTAGAATGCAATGCAGAGCTCCTGCTGCACCCTTTTGCTATCTACAGGACTGACTGTTGTAATACTTTGCTATCTCAACTTCTCAAGAGCATATCTCAGTTTCAGCTGCTTCAAAACTCAGCTGCACGTGTGCTGCATCAAACCAGAAGCGAGAGCACACGTTACACTAATTTCAAAGTCTCTGCGCTGAATAGCCCTCTGGTTATTAACAGATCATTTCATTAGTTATAAAGCTCCTAATGGTCTTGATCCTACTTATGTATTGGATTTTCTTTTATCCTATGAAAACTTAGTGTCCTTTTAATAAAACCCAAAGTCAGAACAACAGTTAGGCATCTCCACATGATTGGAACAGCCTTCTAAGCTTTTAGATTACTTTATTTATACAATTTATTATTCTTATTGTTATTATCAGTATTATTACAGAATTATTTTATCTATTTATTGCTTTTAATCGCTTCACTTTAGTGTCTTCTGTTGCGATACAGACTGAAATTATTCAAGGTTCATTTTCACCAAAAGCTCAACTCTTAGAACTTTTAAATTCCCCATCTTGCCAGATCCACTGGTCCAAATTAAATGAAAAAGTTAAAGCTGGAAATCTTGTGAAGCACAGAATTGGTAGTGGCATCTTTCAAGGTGAAATTACCAGAAGCTAACAGAATATCTTCTGCTTCTGAGCCGCTCTTTATTCTACATGTAGAAAGCCCACCATCTAGTGGGTATGACCTCAACGACAGCTTTAATATAGATGTTATTTGTACAATCTGTTCTGTCAGAGCGGTCCAAACAGCAAGAGCTTCCTTGTGACAGAACATGAAAATAATAAGGCTGTAAACTCCAGAAACATCTTCACATTTGGAGATAAGGTTTAACATGTTCACACATGTGACATCAAATGTCAAGAGTCTCCAAACACTCCTAAGAATCCCGGATTACTCTGGCAACCAATGAGTCACTAATTATCCTTTTGCATTGGAGCCTGTCTTGCACTTTGCATGCATACATTATACTGTAATGTGTTTTCAAGTCATGGGCCAAATACAATATGCAGATATGGTATCATGCTTTATTTGAGCAGCTGTACACACACAATATCAGAGCATATTACTAATTTGGGATCAGAGTTTGTTTTTGCCAGCACTTGACAAAACAGCCTCATTTCATTGTATATTCTGGATCTTCCAATCATGTGGTCTTAATCAAACAAATGGAGTTCTTCAAGTTCTCAGAAAAATACGGAAATTTAAAGTTAGAAAATTATTAATCAAAGTAATGCGACATGATAAAAGCTCTAGAACCACTATTAAACACACCCTGAGCTGAGATTGCTTTCAACACCATACAGTCTGTGTAATGACTGATTTCCACTCATAGATGCTACTATGGTGCTGATTTATATCTTTTAATAACCTGAGTCATGTAACTTTAATCAACAAACATGATCTTCATTTACATTTTCGTCTCAAAGTGAAAAAAAATCAAGGTCAAGAGTGTTGACATTACAATTCCCTTTCAATATTTATACTCCAAAAATTATGCTCAAGAATTGGGTGTGCTAATACTCATTTATTTTTGAAACGGCACACATATCTTAGAGCATAAAATATGAATCAGTGTTTATTGAAATGACACAGAAAGTAATCATTCAGTTTAACTATTTCAATGGCTATAAATACATTCACACGTCAAGCAAAGAAAACTGATTAACTGATCTTGAGTGACAAGCCGAAGTGTAGGAAAAGTAAAAGAGCTATCATGAAGAACAATCCTCCTCACTAATTAAGAGAGTAACAGTCTTTTTTTTAAAAACTGAAGTATTCTTTGCACATTACTGCTGTAAGAATCTCACACCCCAGCGGAGTGATAGCCGCAGATAACACAGACAGCTGAACTGCTCTGTATTTGCAGGATGATGATGCAGGAGGAGGGAGATTCTCAGAAAGGCGTGGCTTTGAAGTAGTCCTCCAGTGGAATAAGCGATACTCCTCCGACCCAGTCCTGCAGCCAGACCTGGATCAGCTCTAGCTTCATGAAGAACCACTTGTGTCCCACTGGCCACTTTGCCATCACAGGATGTCTACGAAAAACAGAACACGTGAAGGGTCATGCACCAAATGTTGCTTCCCTAACTTTTAGATTTGAGATACAAGGTGTGTCAGAAAAGTTCCAGGACTGGTGCCACAAAAGATAGATTTCAAATCCAAAACTCCAGGTTTTCCCCTTTGAAGTAATCCCCCTGGAGTCTAACACACTCCCCAGCCTTCTCTGTCACGCCCCCATGCACTCCTGGAAGGATTCTTCCAGGATGCTCCGCAGCCCCGTCGTCACAGCCATCCTGATGTCGTCCATGTCTTCAAAACGGGTCCCCTTGATGACCCCCTTGAGCTTGGGGAAGAGGAAAAAAATCCCACGGAGCCAGGTGGGGTGAGTAGGGAGGTTGCTCCAGCACCGCAATGTTCTTCTCAGCCAGGAACTGTGGGATGCTCAGGGCGTTGTGAGCAGGCGAGTTGTCATGGTGAAGCAGCCACGACTTGTCCTGCCCCAACTCTTGCCTCTTCTCACGCACTGAACAAAGCAAACACCACAGGATCTCTTTGTAGACGTAGTGGTTGATCGTCTGAAGGGGGAAACTCGTAGTTTGGGTTTGAAATATATCTTTTGTGACACCAGTCCTGGAACTTTTCTGACACACCTCGTAAGCCAACATGCATTCTGACAACACCACAGCTGCCATTATCTCAGTTACCTTGAGAACATTGCTTCCTTTGCAAACGTGAGCTCCTCTGGCGCCACCTCCACCATCTTGCCTGTTAGTGTGAGTCGAGCACATCTGGGATCCTCTGGATCATACGCCATTTGCCTTGAAACACAGTAGAACATGCTACTAGTACAACACACACGAGGTGCTTTTCTTCTTGCTAACATTGGTTTCCTTATTCGTGTTGCATCTTAGCTCCTTTCAGCAAGAATGCAAGAAAGAGATGTGAGGAAGAGAAACAAGAATGGAGCCAAAATAGAAATCCTTCATTACACTGCATCAGTCTGGAGTTACTTGTTACGTCCTGCACAGCTGTCTCACCTGTCAGATCAAATCGACATCCACAACGGTGCAGCTTTATTGCATTATACCACTTTACATAAGACTTCCTGTGTTTTCTTGCTCTAAGCTCTTTCTGAAGCTTCCTCTATCCTTGAGGTAGATTTAAGCAATAAGAAGATCCTCGTTGATAGCAGAGGGGGAACGATTACCGGATCACGGAAGGAGACAGGGCGTGAGGAAGCATAAGTTAGCATAATGAAAAGTACCCACAGTTTTTTGTCGCTTTCCAGAAACTTGCAGTCATAATTCAGTTGTGGTTTGACCAACAACTGCCCAGGAGCCCCAAAAGCCCCAGGCTTACTGCACGTCAGCTGGTTTGTGTTTGTCTATTATGTTAAAAAATTCCAGATGAGAGGACATGATAAAATCCTTATCATGAGGCCGGCTTCAATTGCCTTATCTTGAGGCTGTGTGTTGAAGACGACTTCTGTTTTAAATCAGACGTTCATTGTTTCAGGCTTGCGCTTCATTTTCTAATCGTCAAAGAATGTCGATTTTATCAACATACCACACAACAAACCTCGGGGACGAGTAGTATTTCAGCACAGCGAGGAAAAAAAAAGAATTTACCGGCAGAATTCTCCCTCGGCCTCTGAGAAGGTGAGAGAAGCATAGGGGTTACTTTTCAGGTCCGACACAGTGTTGTCCATCGGAGTCACATAAAAATAGATCACTCCAGTGCTGTTGTCCAGCGGCCCATCACTGACGGAGAAGATGTTCCCAAAGGGGAGACCTTTGATCTGTGAGAAAAGGAAAAACAGGATGTTACCAAAGACATCTTGTTTAAGAGAAAACTCACTGAGGCAGCTGTAGTGATGAACCATGTGTGTTTCAGTCGCAATAGTAACCTGAATGCAGGGCATTTCAGAGGGACTGATGGGGAGAATATGGGCCAGAAGTGCTATTTATATTGTTTATAAGTTGCCCTATAGTGAATTCTTAAAGGGATAACAATGTTTTTTTAGATCTTGGTGTCATAAATTTGTCAATTTTTAATACGTAACTAAACAAAATAAGACAATTTGCATAAGAAACCGCTTAAGTAATAAACATCCTGTTGTTTTGTAAGTTAAACATGGACTAGTCCCCAAATTAATACACGTTTCAGTCCTCTCACACTTACATAGGAGTGGAGAGGCAAACTGACCCCAGTATTTCTATAATTCAATTCAAATATCCCCAACTCCAAGGTTAGCAGAGTTGTCCAGAACACGAAAGCCAACACTAGACAAAGGGGTGAAGAGTAATCAACCTGAGTATTAAAATCGTTTCTGTGGTTAGGTTTAATCAATATATGTAAACACTGGCAATTCTCTCAAAGCCAGACGTATTGGAGATGAGGAGCGTTGGTGTTGTGTTACAAACTCAGGAGCTACTGTGCTTCTGAACAATAAAAGGTAGCATTCATAGGGATGACATGAAACCAACCTGAGGTTTACAGCTGCAACCACTATGGATTTATAGTATCTGATGCTTTTTCAATTACATTTTCAAAGCTGACTTTGGCAGTCAAATAGCTTGTTTAGTCGAACCAACAATCTTAAGATGTGCACTTTTATGGCATAGCATGCAAAATGGCTGTAGCTGCAATTTTAGAAAAGACTGGGTTCTCCGAATGCACTTCACCAGAATAGTTTTTATATTGTCTTTATTCAGCTACCGGTTTGTTCATTTACACTTTCTGTGATTTTTCATTTCCCACCGTTATGGTTATTACACCCTGTCAGTCATAAGATTCTGCAGAACTGCTGAAGCCTTTTATTACTATTTTGTTATTCAAAAAGTACTCAAAAGTAGCTTTATGGTTGTCTAAACCTGTGTCATCGAGGCTGTGGTAGTGAGCCACAGCATTTTATTTTGCTCATGATGTGTCTTCTAGCATAGAAAAATAACACCATAATTACACATTTAAAAACTTGATTTTCACTGGAGGGGTCTTTAAAGAGAAGATCACAATGTAGAAAACACAGCTGCAGGTAAAAGCCCTGCACTCGAATTTATTCTATGTAATATTATTCTACGTATGTAACCAGCAAAATGTACAAATATTAAACCTAACCATCATTATTTTTTTCTGGTTTTTTTCCACTGTTAAAAGGTGCATAAAGGGTTTAGGTGGTTAAGCAAAGGATGAGTTCCTATCTATGTCTACTGTGACACTGATATGTCAAGATGAGGTGTGCAGGTGGGGGTGGAGGCCATATTGTGACCCTGGAAGATTACTGCATGGAGGGAAAAGCTGCAAACAGTCAAAAACTGCACTAACTTCTGATAAAACAAACAAAAAAAGGCAATCAAAGGAGAACTTTTGGCCTTGTGCTTTTCCACATTGACACTTATAATTTAAAAAGTTGTTTTAGTGATGTCTTTTTTTCAGTATTTGAAGTGGTTCTAGCTAATTTGATAGCTCATTTCTAGTAATTTTGAGCAGGTATGAAGAAACATGTTGCATATTTTTTAATCTTTTTCTTACCCATCTGACGGTAGGTACTTGGCAAAAAACAAACAAAAAAACAATAGAAATGTAAGAAATATAATGTAAAAAAAGATTCCTCATAACACAGAATCACCTCTCGGAGTATCAAATCCTGGTTAAACTTCTACTTATGTGCAAGATTTGTGCACACAAGTTATTATCATGTGTAACAAGATGTATGAGTTGTCAGAAAGTTTTTCTTGGAAGTTTTGTTGCCTGGCACATGGTGGCTTTGCATCATCAGATATATACCTGAAAACACCACCTTTAAATACAGGTTAATGTGTCATGTTGATAGTGGAAAGAGTGGTGTGTTATTGTTTTATTATAAGGACATTTGAGGCTTGCTATTATATATTGATGCACCAACGCACAGTAAGGATGTCCAAAGCAGGACTAGTGTGTGTGTGTGTGTGTGTGTGTGTGTGTGTGTGTGTGTGTGTGTGTCACCTTGTCTTGGGTGGAAATGGTGGCCAAGTGTCCCCAGTCACTGTAGTGGGCGATGTATCTGGCGGTCCTGGCGGTCTCCTGGTGAGGAGGAGGAGAGCTGCCCGCGGACTTCTTCACCTTCTCCAGCCGATAGGAGAAGAGCCGAGAGGAGAGCTGCGCCACGCCGTCGCTCTCGGGCTTCACCAGCTCCCCGGGGCTCTCCACTCCGTCTCCGAGGACGTCTGAGGACGGGTACGCCTGTTTCCACAGCCCCGCTCCGTCCACCAGCAGCGCCGGGGCCACCTCCTCCGACAGGTCGGCGTCCTCCACCACATCGTTGGAGGACACCACCCAGGACACGGAGCTCCTCAGGGTGTAGCCCCGGCACAGAGCGAGCAGGGCGGCCAGCAGTGCCAGGGGGAAGTAGTGGGGCTTCATGTCATGGAACTGAGAGAAAGGCCGTCCTCATCGCTCTTGTTTTCCCAAACTCACGTGTTGGTGCTTTCATAACACGAGCACACTTTGCTGTAGGGCGTGCAGCGACCCCTGCTGGTCAACCAGGAGGTTGTTTTATAACCCGCCTGCTGAGGCTTTTCCCCAAATGAAGCAAAACTGCTGACAGGGACTCTGAGCATCATAATGCACTGCAGCAGAGGAGCTCTGGAAAAGATGCTGCTTGTGCGCCTCAGTAGTTTGGTAGATTTTTAACACAGACCTCTCGGCACATTACACTTCATACTCACATTTTTAAAATGCCGTATCTGTAGTTGCTTCATTACAAATAAGTCCACCAGTAATTTGTTTCTGCATAAACCAATTAAGTAGGTATGTTGCACAGGTGTAACTACAGGTGGATTCTTGCAAGGTGTAAAAACTCCTATAAGATTGTGATATGAGTTGATCCTGCAGGAAAGTCTCATTTTGCAGAACACAGTGAATCAGCAGGGCCTAAGCTTCATGGCTTCCCTACTTAAACACCTTTATAAGAAGTTCTGTTTGCATTATTTTTTTGAAACTATTACGGGCATTGCGAAAAAAATTTTTCATATTATGGACACGTTATTATTTGATCTGAAGTATTCCTCAACACCTTTTAAATATACTGAAAAAATATGAACTCAGCATGAGATATTTTAATCAACTGTATCCATTTGTTTAAAAATAGACAAATAAAGATTTGTTGTTTCAATACATGGCATCTCTGCAACAGAGTGGACTTCACAAACGCGTGCACCATGTTGGAGATGATAATGGGCAGATTGAGAGTGGAGTCATAGACCAGAAATCACAAGTCAGTCACAAATCACACATCAGCAACGCATGAAGTTAACGGGGTTGTCGATGCTGCTTGTAGAATGTTGTTCCACTCTTTCTGAAGGACTGAGAAGTTGGCAGACATTTTGGTGGACAGGATCCTGTTGTCAGACACATCCATGCAGAGCATTATGTGCTAGACTGTCTGTTGCACCATGTTGCCTGAAACAATTTCTTAGATGACAAATAGTGCCCTAACTGACATACCAGCATCCAGCGTGTTGATAGCTTGTTCTCGTCTTTTTTGTGTCAATTGAACAAAGTTACATTTTAGGGTGATCATTTACAGTCAGTGGTTGAAGGAGTGTCAGTGTACTGGTCACGCTATCTGATCATTCGTCTTTAACAGCCACACCTAGGGTGTGGATGCACTCAGTGGTTGAGAATTTGTCAGCAGCTTTACAGCTCATAAACTTTCCGTGCACAACTGGCTAAATTTAACTCAATTCAAACCAGAGCAATAGAAATTTGATTTTTTACTTTTTCTTAAATTCAGAAAAGACCATTTGCATTGGGCATTTATATTTTCGTTCAGTGTAAAAGGAGATAAATCCTCTTCAAATGAAGTTGATGAACATATAAAATATGATGCTATGTTGTTGGCTGAAGGATAAGTTCCTAATTTAAATAAATAAAGTTTAAGAGGTCACTAGATAATTAAGGGGATAACAAAAAACACACTGATTTGTTCTGACTCATGACATACGAGCACTTATGCCACTTCAGGCCTTTGAATATCCCACAAAGTAAATATACTGAAAAGTAAAACCTTTCACCACTCATGTCTGCCCAGTTATTGCAACACTGGCTGAAACGGACTAATAGAGATCTCAGTCAAGGAGGTTTAACCAGGTGATTAAAGAAAAACCACCTGTGTGATTGTTTTTTTCACATAGGAGATTTGCTGTAGTATTAAACTACAGGTGCAGAAACATTAATAAGGGCTCTATTTTATTCAAATGTCCCAGTGAGCAGGATCTGGAAACTAAAGCACCGAAATGGAAATGAGTCATCAATATATTTTGCAGTGTTTTTCCCATTCTGAAAAAAAGCACTCAAACGTTTCAGGTAATTAATTAAAAGTTCCTATCCTTATTTCCAGTGATACTGACAAGGTGAACATCAGACCTGGGAGGTGTAGGCCATGCTAGCGAACAGATGAGTTTCCCATGATACACTGTTAGATTACTGAATTAAGGGAAAAGCTGGCACAGATGCCTGCCCAGAGTTGTCCATCAGACGTGTGACGGGGTTGTGCAACCAGTCTTTCCCACAACACCAGTCAGTTTGCATCAGTTTCACACTTGCAGTATATTTTTTGGAACTAAAAGAAACCCTGCTGCTGATGTTCTGTCTGGCACAAGTGGAACATTCTTGTTGTTGCCTGCAAATCTTATCAAGCATGCAAATTCTCACTGTACTCTCAACTTGTTGCTCACAGTGAGCAACACAAGATTGTTATTGTCTCAATTATACTGTAAATATAACACGATAGTCACTTCACGATAGTCACTCACTTCACTTATGACCCACAATATTTAAATAAAATCTAGAAAAAAGTTACATTTCAAGTAATTTTTTTCTTTTATTCCACAATTTGTCTCTTTATTGCCTCATTTGTTGTATTAGTAAAATAATGAGAATAATAATTCAGTATTTGGGGAGTTTCAACAGTTAATTTGTTGCGATATTGATTCATTTAATATGTTCTCCTCACCCATCTCACATTAAGGTACTTGGCAACAATAAAACTGAACAGTAGAAATTTTATTAATTGACATAAACTTTTAACCGCAGTGAAATGCTGAATCACATTAGACATTATTCATAAACAACCTTTATCTTAAAGTGGTTATGGTGGGGAAGGATTTGAAGGAACTTTCATTATATACTCTGTCGCTCCGCTTCCCTGTCTCTTAATAAAACATTAACAAATTTTTTTTTTTACAATTAAATACAAACAGATTTAAAAATTACCACAGAGTTGAATCGACATCTTTCTGACAGCCTCAGCGAACACTCAGCACCTTGATAAAGGTCGTATTTGTGAGCAGGGCTGTTCACATTCTTGTTTCCACACCCTGTACATCCCTCTGCTTTCCTTCTCAGTCCATGGTCTTGTCACTCCAGGCCATTGACTTCCTCTTGGCCAGTTCCATCCAGGACGGCTGTCCGCTGTCCGACATGGACTGCAGCCCCGATGGCAGTGTGGGGGACGACGACCGCAATGAAGATGCCGCCACATTTTTCCGCTGCCATTTCTCCTCAAGAGGCCTTTCTAGAACTTTAGTGGGGCTTGACTCTGAAAAAAAGAAACAAAACCCTGTGTCACATTGCTGCATGAGAAAATACCAAAGAAGTATTTTTACAGATTTATTATTCCGATTATGTGTCAACACACCTGCGAGTTTCACCCCTTGTCTTCCTTCTGGCATTGTGTCTCTGCTTAGAGATGCAGTTTTTACCAGAGCAGGTGGTTCATCTGATGTCTGCACATCTGTTTGCGGTTTCCTCAATTCCACCTGAGAAAAATAAAGTGTTAGAGCACACAGCCAGTATAGCTTAGCAGCGCAAAAACAAGGAAACATCTGGTGATGTTCTGCATTTCATCAATTACTAATAAATGCCCACAAATAATGAATTCATCCTACTAGCAAAGCCAGACAAGCCTTATTTATCTGTGCCAAAGGCCTCTACTGCCATCCAGAACCTATTTGAACACATCAGTGGGCCATTCAATTGTTCTGAGACATGTTCCATATGATAAATATGGAACTCCGCTTTGTTTTCTGTGGTACAAACTTATTATAGCATCAAATCTGTGGTTACAAAAATCCCAAATAAATCCACTTTCACCAGAGGCTGTTTCAAGAAGGGACTTTTTTGAGAACTGAACCGCTGACCTTTTTTAAAAACACATCTTCAGCATGAAAAAAGGTTTGGACTTATTGGAGAGTATTGAGTGGACATATCCTCTCATGATATGAAAGATAGTTACAGAAGAAGTACCACAAACCCCCTTGGGTCCAGGCGGCGCGCTCCATTCTGCCCGTTTCTCCAAAAACACGGCCCTGTCGCTGACGGAACCACTCCAAACTGCTCGCCTGACTGAAAGAGACCGAGCGTCTTTTTGGACAGTGGCTTCCCCTTCCTGTCTTCCCAAGGTAGAAACTGAAGGAGGGGTTGCAGCCGAAGAGACGGTTGCAACTGATGCCAGAGGTACAGCTGTGGATTTGAGCTGGGCAGCAGGACTTCGGTTGCTCCAGGAGGGTTGCTGCTGGCTTGAGGAAAGGTAAGACTGTGCAAAAGACTGTGAGGCGCTCCCTTGTGCAAACTGAGATGTGGCATCTGTTTGTGAAGAGAAGTGCACTGGAGATTGAGTTATCCATGAGGTGGCGTGTACAGCTGGATGAGACACGGGATGGGACAGAGTTGTACTCAGCTGGTCTTCTCTGGTTTGTTTTTGGGGTTCTTTAGAGGTAGCAGTAGACGTCACTGACACCTTTTGCTGTACCACAGGTAACGATCCCACAGTCTGTGCTTGACTCCGACTTAAAACTGCTTCTGCCTTCACTGTATCAGCTGATGGTTGATTTTCAGCCTCTGACTGTGTTACACTTGGCTGTATCTTTACAGTTTGTATTTGTGCCCCAGTCACCGCCTCTGTTTGATTTGTTGGCTGCGCTTGTGCTTGTGGTCGAGCTGCGGTTTGCATGCCCGTAAAATCTCTGGGGAATCTACTAGTAAAGAGCTGCTGGAGGCTTCTGGTCTTTTCCATTGCCAGACTCATCCAGGACACCTCGGATGCGGCTGTCTGGGGGGCAGGCTCAGGCTCCTGGGGTGCAGTTTCTGCTTCTTTGGGGTTGGAAGCAATCATCTGGACTTCTGTAGGCATGATGGGAGGGTCGATGGTAAATAGAGCACTGTGCTTCACTGGAGGGGAGAGGCCAGATGGGGTTGGATCTAAGGAGAGACACAAATCTGTTAGACATGGTTGGCAGCACTGTTAACGTTAGCCTTGGTGGTGCTTTAATGAGTACAAAGTTCCCCTGTGATCACTGAAATCTTATCTTACTGGAGTGATTATTTACCACATGAAACTTATCTTGTTCCACAGACAAAACAGCATGCATCTGTGCAAGATTTAACTCTACAGGCAACTGAAGTCTCACAGTAAACAAAGACCGGTTAATAATAACAATAATACGCACATCTTAATAACTTTGTGACTTTAATTTGTTCTTATTGGTTGTCCTTCTCAGATCTCGATTTTCTGTGCATGTTTTTTGTGCATGTTTTGTCACATTTTTTCTCTCAGTGGGCTCATTTTTCACTGCAATATAAAGTTCTGCATCTCTATGGAAACAGCACAACTGTAGCTGGAGGTAGAGAAAACTCAAAACTGTCTTCTGTGCAGTACACTACAGTTACAGCTCCTATAAAGAATGACAAAAGAAAAACAAAAGTGGAATTTCCTTGATTGTGTATTTTAGAAAACCTGGAATCAATATGCACAACAGTTTTTCCAGGTGCCTACAGTTGTCACTAATACTCTTAGTAAAAATGGGGACTCTGCATGCTTTAGATATTTTACTACTAATATTTTTTTTTAAATGTTTCTATCCTTGCCCTCTATCTGCTCTCTGTAAACACAGCCCACAGTTCAGCCCAGTTCAGCTACCTGAATTTTTGTCATGTGACTGTCATCTAAGTCAATAATGCCCTCTTGGTTTAAACAAAAAATGCATTTTTTTTTAGTTTTTTGCAGAATATGTTTAGTGTAAAATGTTTATTTTTGCTGAGTTTTTTTTAATGAAGCATCTAAAATAAAACGATTTTGATGATTTTTTCCCCCATTTTAATTTTTTTTTTTTTTTGAGTAAGATAAGATAAGGTAATTCCTTTTTGATCCCTATAGGGGAAATTTGGGCATTGCAACAGCACAAGATAGTGACACACAAAGAATGCAGTAGATAAAAATATAAAACTATGTATATACACATATATATATATATACATATATAAAGGAGAAAAAAGTATGTACAACTGAACTTCAAGTGTCAATCTAAAGTGTCTTAGTGTGAGAGTGTGTGTGAGTGTGTGAGAGAGCATGTGTGTCATTGTTATTATGTGTCGGGGTAGTTCAAAGACCATCTGAAAATTCACAGATGTTTTCTGTTTTTATTCCATCTGATCTGATAATTGGTGTAATTTTGAAGATTTTAGAGATAGCATACCTTTTAAACATTACCTCATCATTCCTTTCCTTTATAATTTGCTTATTCTTTGTCTAATTTTGCAGTTGCGTTTACAAAATCATGTTCACAAGTGACAATGAGTAAACCAATACAAATAAATAATACAGTGGGAAAAAAAACACATATGTCATCCACATGGTTATATTAGGAGATCTAAGACTCACCTCTTGGTCTGGGTTCTCCAAGGTTGGTTGGTGTAAAAGATACGTTTTCTGCCAGCTTTTCAATCAGGAAATTGGCAGAATCTCTTGTTTCCTGTTGTTTTTGTTTCTCACTTTGGTCCTCGCACAGCACAGTCTTTGAATGATGGTTGGAAATGGGATTCGAGCGCAATCTAACTGACTGTGATGTGGAGCGCAGTTTGATGCCGAACGCCGTCTTTCCTTCTTCCTCCTGGACCTCCTTTGCTTCCACTGCCTCTTCCACTTCCTCCTGGCTGCTTTCCACCTCCTCTCTCTCGACAGCCCCTGTATCTGCAGGTACACGTTTAGATGGTGTCACTGGTTCTACCTTTTTGAAGCTGTCTCTTTTGTCCCATGAAAAAACTGTACTTCTGGGTTCTTCTTGCCTAAGTCTTCCCACACCAAAGGGGCCTCCTCTGGGCTGTAAGCCTCTGATTTCCTCCTTTTCCCTCACGCTTTTGTCCTCAATTCCCCCAACTGGCTTATGTTTGGCTTCGGTCTGTTCCAGCACTCCTACAAAACTGCCTGATCGGGGTCTTTCTCCATCTTGGTTTCTGGCAGTGCTGATGGACAGATGGAAAGAACCAGATCCTGGGGCAGGTCTCCTTATTCCTCTTGTGCTGTCGCCCTCAGCTTGAACCTGCTGGCGAACAGAGGAAGACCTGAACATCACCATTGAGTTGAAGGTAGAGGAGAGTGGGTCAGGGGGAACTTGTGCCACTCCAGCCTTGTTTAGTGTGCTTCTCTTGTCGTGGGACATCAATTGTATCTCAAAATCCGCCTCTCGTTTCCCCTTAAGTTCTGACTCTATGTAGGACGAGTGTGGCCGTTTACTGGACATTGCATCCAGGGGCCTACGAGGTTTAACTCGAAGTACAGAGGGCGCTATCCCAGGAAGAGGATGGTCCTGATGGGGAAAACTTAGACTGGGTGGTTTGGGTGCTGCGTCTGGTGTGACTGGTGCCAACTGTGATGGGATTGCTGCCACTCCTGATGCGACTGATGCCAACTCTGATGTGACTGGTGCCACCTCTGACGTGACTGGTGCCACCTCTGATGGGATTGGTGCCACCTCTGATAGGATTGATGTCACCTCTGATGGGATTGGTGCCACTTCTGATGTTACCGGTGCCACCTCTGATAGGATTGATGTCACCTCTGATAGGATTGGTGCCACTTCTGATGTGACAGGTGCCACCTCTGCATACTTGGAAGGAAGATGCTGAGATTCAGTAGTGTGTTCTGTTTCGACTGTGACTTCCTCTTGAGAATCCAGCTCCTGCTCTTGTTCGTCCACAGATTTGAGGTGGTCGACGTTGTTTAGGGTGTGTGAAAGAGACAGGGACTGAGTCTGCAAAGAAAGAGACATCATGGGTAGAAAAGTGAAGAAAATATGTTGTTCATTTTTACAAATGGTAAAAGTATGGCCACTCACTACAGTGAGTTTCCTCTTCGTGCTGGCCCTTTGGTTTCTTGGTTTGACAGCCATCCGGTGACGTGCTGCAGAAGTATCCAAGCAGGGAGTGAACTGGGCTGGCGTGTTGAAGTCTAACGGAGACTCGACAGTAGAAGAAGAAGAAATGGTGGGGCCAAAAAGAGAAAAAGAATGGGACGGAGTTGGGGGTAGAGATTTGGTAGGTAGAGATTTGGGGAAGGGGGAGAATGGGCAAGAGGCTGGCTGGGATGTCGTCTGAAATGAGTAAAACAACACAATTCTTATAGAAGAGAAAGCCCCACAAAAAAGTCTTTAAAAACCCATTTATCATTTAAACATCTCTGGATTGTATTAATTCCTCAGTACCCTCTCCTACTTGCATGATCTTAAAGGATAAAGCTAACATTTTTCAATTGGTCAACAAACTCGATGAAAACAATGAATTAATCCGACTCAAAAGGCTAATTCTTTAGTGCCGCAGGCCTCCATTGTTCTCCAAATGTAATTAAAAAGGCATCAGTGAGCCACACTATTGCACTGAATGACATATTCCTACATTAGAGTAAAAAATGGCCACTGTAGTTTATTTTGAGTCAGTCCCACATACACCACAAATCCTAGCAAGTGCTCTAACTGTGTATTAATCTGTCTCAAAATAGTACCCAGCATGTTCACCACTCTATTACTCCTATTTGAAAAAGAATTGCAAAAAAATTCAGAACCTAGCTGTTTTAGGGATTATTATGCTGTATATAAAGAGTTAACCCCCCAAAAAGGTTCAGCAATTTACACAAAGACACAAACATGTACTAAACCTGAACTGCACTGACAGGAAAACATAGGCCAAATGTGCACATGTTGTTGGTCTGTCTGTCCTTCTCTTCACTTTCTGTCCCTGCTATAGTAAAAGCTTCAGCTTTGGCTTTGAGTCTGGGTATCTGTCTGAGAGGAATCTGACTGACGATACCACTCTGAAGCGGCATTCAAAATTGCAAAATTGTACCCTGAGATTCACAAATGTAATCACTGTAGCAGATAGTTAGCTGTGTATCAATATTTCTCAAGATAAATCACCTTGGTGAGGGCTCCCTGGGATGTGACATCTTCTCTCGAGCCATCAGGAGGGCTGTGGTCAAGACAGTCCTCTGAATGACTGCTCAGGTCCTCTGGACGCTTGATGGGCAGAACTGCAGGTGGTGGCCCAAAATGCAGCTTCTGCTGCAGAAGCTTTGTCTGCAAAAGCAGAGCACAGCATGTTTCCTCAAGAAAAAGTCCAAACTATCCTATATTTCTACTTCCCTACAGAATAAAAAAGGCTCTACCTGCAGAGCTTTGATCTTGCTGTGAACATTCTGCTGGGATGAGTCCCTGGCTGGTTCAGCGTCTGTCAGGACATGACCAGTCAGAAAGATGCTTTCATGGGACAGTGCTCGGGACCCCATTATCCCCTGAGAGCATCTGAGGAAAAAAAATAAGAAAAATTTATAATCTCAGGACAAGAAAATTCATCTTAAAATGAACCGTCAGAAAGATTTCCTGCCATGCAGACACTCACACCAAGTCTTCATCCGATCCTAGTCCCTTTCCAGCAGAAATGTCACTGACTGACTGGCTGAGTTTGGTGTTTTCCTCTCCACCTGCTCTTTTGCTTTTCCCAAAGAGGCGAGTTTTCAGAGCCTTGAACTTGGACTTTTTACGTCCTGGAGATTGAGACAGAAAAAGATCCTGGTCACAGCAGCTCACAGACACACAAGAGCAGAACTGACATAATCGCCTCTCTACAGCCTATATATCTAATTATTATATCAGATGTGGGCGTTGTAAATCCTAGTTTATCAGTGATAATAAACAGCCCGTAATGCTTGCTTTAGGTTGGAGCTCTTATCTTAAACTACACAAGATATAATCTCACCTGGAATGTCTTCTGTGTTTTCTTCTGTGTCTCCAGAGAAAGACTCCATCAGTCTGATCGCATAGAACAGATGAGAGCAAAGTGTTTAATATAAGGCAACAAGAATGAAAAGCCAACAAAAGCCACACAAGCACACAGTCTTTCGAGGCTGTTGTCACATGGTGGAGGGCATCTAAAGTGCCATCCGGTGGTAAATTCTCTCTTCTCTTACAGGGAAACATATGGACTTTCAAAGGTTCAAAGGTTTGTTGCTGTTCATTATCAGGAGCGGTTCTAACCTTTGCTGTAAATAGGCGGGGTGTGTGAGGAAACTCTGTCCTTAAGATCACCATGAAGGCTGTAGTACAAAAGACAATAAAATGCATTTTTCTCAAGCAAAAAATAAATAAATCAGGTTTGAAAGAAGGTGTCAGGATTTCTAATGTTTCTCGGACTATGCATGAATATCACACTGTCACAAAGCACTACAGTCTGAGTGATGTATGACTTGTGAACAAAGCAAAAGCTAAATTCTTGCTCACAGGCAGCTTTACTTAAGCAACACTTGTCTGTCAGTCATCCAGGTGTGGTTGATGTTTTACTGGATGCCAGATTCAGTTCAGGCTGCTCTTTAACTTCATTTTACGAACTTTTACATTTTCTTTACCCTGCACTGGAGATCGTAATCTATTTAAAACATACGTAATCTGTGCTTCCTACAGTTCTCCTTGTGTAGCCAAGGAACTGTTGTCATGATCCTGCATGGCTGCCTGATAAGACAGGACATGTGAGGTTATGGAGAAACATACAAAGTCCACATTGCACCTCCCACATCACTGAGTTCCTCCTGCTGAAAAGGATATAAGCACTCGAAGTCGTATGCGACATCATGCTCGACTTACACGAGATGTGACCCTCCTGCTCTTTGAATAATTTTCAACTTGCTCGTGCGATAACCTCCACGGTGAATGAAACTAAAAGAGTTTTGCCATTCACCGAGCCAAGCTATATCCCCCCAGAGAAACAGAGGATAATCCGGTGGATTATTGACATTGCAGAGAGATCCTTGTAAGATTTCACAGCACCATAATAATCCACAACAGAGGCTTAATCACAAACTTCCCCTGCTGCATACTGCAGCACAAAATTCACCTGACATTCTCACAGGGAATGTCAGACACTCACACATTCACACGCTGTCCGGTACAAAAAGAAAAAAAAACAAAACAAAACACGAGTGACCTTACCAAACGTCAAATGCCAGCACCTCTGCTGCTCTCCCTCCTGTTTGTCCTCCTCTCTACACGGAGTTGTCTTGTCTCAGCTGTGTCTCTGCCTCTAAATGTTTAAACCTCAGGCTTTACGTCGTCCACATCTGCAGACGGAGGGAGATGCAGAGGGAAGGGAGCGAGGGATGTGAAAAGAAAAAAAAAAAAAAAAACAGGCAAGGAGAAAAGAAAAGAAAGACAGAGAGAGAGAGAGAAGGTCAGTCCATGACAGGGTAAGCAAATGCACAAAGAGAAAAGAGGACAGATGAGAATGTGAGAGAGGGAGAGAGAGGGAGAGAGGGAGAGGGAGGGAGATACTCTATTACATTAGTGGCACACTGTGGCCCTCTGCGCTAAGCTCCTTATAAAACGCTAACCTGATTTTAGGCCCAGAAATGAGAGTAGAGGGAAAAAAATAAAGCTCCAGTTGGAAAGAGGACATGCATACAGGAATTATGGCTCATGGAACTGTTTACACATTACAACCGGGTTGCTCAGTGCCCCCTGATGATCGCAGGGGGGAGTCTATGTATATGTGAGATCTAATATGTGTGTATTTGAAAGGTAGATAAAAATAAATACCAACTAGTCATCTCACTGCCTTGGTGGAATCCAGAGTTCAAATCCAACTGTAGCAGAAATTGGAGCTAAAATAATCTTCTATAACACTTTACAATAAGATGTGTGGCAAAATCCATCACACATGTCAGTTTTGAATGCGTGAAACATCTCTGGTTTAGCATCCTAGTGGTCTCATTGTTGAGATATTTACCATGTAACACCAATGTACCTAGTTTAGGGACCTTTGCTACTCATTTCCATGTGTCTGCACTGTCAAAAAATACTGCAAAATAGCCTTAGAGTGATAAAAAATGACTTTAACACTGATGCATTAACTGGAGCAAAGGATTTCTACCACATATTTTATAATCTGTGTAATATTCTCAGTGTTGCAGCATTCAAATCCAACTTCTCGCACATTCACATTCGCACACACACACGGTAGTATTCAGAGATGGAAGCACTATCTAGGCCACTGGGCTACAATCAGCAAGAGGGAGGGCGGCAGGAACTGGAAAGCGAACCTTTGCATCCACATTCGTATGTCTGGATGTGAAGCCGAGCAGCTTCTTTGATGAGGCTCCTCATCGTACAAATCCTCGTCTCTTCCACCAGAACATAAATCCAGCCGGCGACATCTGGATTACATGCAACAAACCACAGTGACATAAGAGTCTGGGATGTAGTTTTTATTTAATTCCCTCATTCATGGATTTATTGTCTGTAATCTACACATAAAGGGCAATATGCACGGGGACTTATGTCATCCTACAATAATGATGTTTAATGTGATTACAGCTCGTATATGTCGTCCTATAAGGAAGCTGTCTGGACATAATGAACTACACTCCACTTTCTGCTGCCTGCACTGCTGCTATTGTCCTCTCAGCAGAATGAAAACAAAGGTGCTGACGTTTGTTACAGTATATGCCCGTTCCTGGTTCATGTGGTTTCCTGATGGATTATAATTTCTTCCCCTCAGAGCCCAGATGAGGACTGTGCATATCGAGATTAAGGCCGATAGATAATCCGATCACAGCGCTGTTTGAACTCACGAGGGTTGCCACCCATTCAAGCAGTTTGCCTTGAAAATGTATGAGAAATATTTTTCCCATGAGGTTTTTCTTTTCTTATACATATATAAAGTAATATTTCAAATCTAAATTTTTAACTGGACTCATATTGAATTTATCCCAACACATTTAACACATTGACCGATGTCTAAAACACTAACTTTTCCAAACTACAATAATTTTCTACAGATCTATAGTTTCTAATTATGTTAAGTATTGTTGTTGTTTCGTAATACTTTTTTTTTTTTTTTTACATTAATCATTAACTAGATGTGAATGTGGACTTCTCATGAAAGCCAGGAATGTTATGTTAATATATAAACTACATCTTTCCAACTGACCAGGCAGGTTCAACCCTTTTAAAACTGTGTGCTTGGAGGCAGCAGCTGCAAAAACAGCAAAGATAGAACGAAAGTAATAGGATAATACATAAAGTAAGGTTTTTAAAGTGGACTTGGGCCAAAATTAATTGAAATACACTGGACATACACACTTAAAATGGATTGAACTACTAAACCTGCCATCTGGAAAATCAGCAAGAAAGCCTCTCTTTTTGGTTTAGTGTTCACAATAGTTTGAACATCTATTGCTCCAAGATGGCTTGATGAAGACCGTTTAATATCGTTAAAAGCTCTGGAACAGGTGTTGAATGTACCTAAACTAAGATTCTATTGTAAATTAGAAACTGCAATTTCAGAAGAAAAAAAAACAGAACTACTGCAAAAGCCCACAGTTTTTTACTCTACTATTGCCTTGAATGTGTTAATTAAAAATATATATATATACATTCAGTACTGTAGGATAAAAGACAGCAAATGCTAAATGGTCCACACTAATAAAGCCTGAGCAAGGTTCTACAAAGTGCTTTACAATGTGTTTCTCATTCAGTAAAGGATATCATTTTTTTTCTGTATACCCATTTCTATTTTGATATAAAAATAGGTCATTTGTACATTTAATTAAGTTTTCATTGCACACACATATAAAAGCAAACATGTAGGTGTGGTTTCTTTGATTGTGTAGCCTGAGGCCTGAGGCAACAAACCTAAATAGCAGTTCAGCGGCTTTCCATTCATTCACAACATTCATCAACAGCAACACACAGTTATTTACTGCACAGTAGTAAATAACATTACAAATAGATTCGTGTGCAATATCTATTATTAGTGCTATTTACTACTGTGCAATACCATATTTCAGATTGCTACTTATTATAGACTAGACAGTTGAACTTGTAACCTGCAATCTATTCCTGTTGCTACAGCCCTTCATCTCTGCTGTCAGCTTTATATTCAGTGTTTACACTCACTTTTTTTTGTTTACATAGTTTTTGTAATTACCATATTGTGAGACTACTAAACGTCCTGTGGTTTTGTGCTTTACTATTTGTATTTCCTGTGCACCAGGCAAAGCAGCACTACTAATTATCTTAATAATATACTCAATAATGTATGATGTAGTATTTTATTTTGTATTTAATTTAGAATTATAAATTGTAAATGAGAGGCACTGAAAATACAGTCAGTAAGTTAATTTCAAAAGGTAGGAGAAAATGAAACAGTAAAACAAACATTTAGGATATAAATGCAAATTTTAAGTAATTTTTTTTAGAAAATTCATTCATTTTTCCACCAGATGGTGGTACATCACCCTAAAAAGCTCCTTCTCTGGAGATCATCATAATTACAGAAGACATTTTGAGAAAAAAGGAGGATTTTTAGAAAAGAACCCCTAAACGTCAAGAAAACAAAAAAATGAAATGCATAAATGACATATAAAATAGAATGTCTTATAAATGTACCATAGCAATATAAAATATTTAATCATACAATTAGCTGAAATTTAAGACATATCAGTGAAGCAAAAAGCAAACATTGAAATTGTTATAAATCCCATCCCATGCACCTGTATGTGAAGGCAAATCCAGCGACAACACAGATGTGTCAATCGGATCACATAAGTTAGAAAAAAAAAAAAGACAGTAATAATTATAGCTCCAACAGTCTTATAGGGTTTTTGTGTGCTTGGTGTGGAAAATGTCTACGGAGGTCTCTTGGCACTGCCTGAGGTCATAGTCACAATATCCAACCGAGAATCGGCCCTGTGGGACAGAATGATAATCAGAACACAACCTGCTGATTCACAGATTGTCAGCACAGTATCTCTGATAACGACTGCGGTTGAAAGATGAATATTAATTACGTTACTGTGAAGAATGCAGTCTCACCTTTGGTCTTTTGAAGTAATCCAACCCTCTTCCAATTTTTATGATCCAACCATTGTCAAACCTAGAGATAACATTGAGGTTAGTTAACTTGCACGTGGTACGGACAAATGAGTGCCAATGTCAAAATAAACGTTACACAATCGTCCTCAAATGTACTCATACCCTCCAATTAAAGAAGGAAAAAAAACAGCTGTCACTGAACTAAGCTGAAATTGACAAAAGTAATAATAAAGAAAAATGTAATGAAAATCATGACACTGCTTTTGAATTGTGGTTCAACAGAAATATTTAAAAGCAAACAAGCAAACAAGCATGATGGGACCCATAAACTAATATTTTGTTGAACAACCCTTTGAGCCAATCACTGCAATCAAGTGTTTTCTGTAACTCTCAATCAGACTTCTGCACCTGTTGACAGCTATTTTGGCCCACTGCTTATGAGCAAAGTGCTCTAATTTGTCCAGGACTGGTTTTTTTTTTCAATTATTATTATTCTTTTCAACCACAATTCAAAAATAATGTCTTATTTCAATAAATTCTAATTTAGCTTTTTTTTTTCTTTTAATTTATTATTACTTTTTGCAATTTCTAGTAATTTGAGTCACTATTGCGAATTTTACCTTTTCTGTAATGGAAGGGTATGAATATATTTGAGGACAGCTATATATTAAAACGAGGGATTTCTTACAAAAGATAAAGCCAACATTTAAAAAAAATAGTTTCAAATCCCTCATATTTTGTCACTGTAGCTGCTATGAATGAGGAGAATTGGATGCTGTACCTGATCTCCCTGTCATGGATAGTGGTGGAGTACTGCAGATCCAGAGTGACTCCCTGAGCACTGAGACTCTCTTTGAGCTCGGCCAGAGCGCTGCTCTGCTGGCTGCTGTCGGCCTGAAGGACGGGATGAGTGGCAGTGAAACAACAGCACAAACTGAACAGAAGAGACGACTGTGGCTGCTATGCATTCATTACACAGTGTGACCTCATTAGTTTAATAACCTACTTCATCCTGTGAAGTGAGGAGATGGATCATTTTCACCTTGCAGGAGGCTTTTAGCAGCATCTCACAGAACCGCAAGAAGTTATACAACTGTGATGGAGAGGAAGAGGGCAAAGCGTTAGTTTGATCATTTATATAAGTTTGGTACAGTTTTATGTGGAAGTTTTAAACTACTCATTGAAATATTTTTTTAAATGAGCAAACACAAAACAAACATGTTCTTTAATTGTGTGGGTATACTTGACATTTGTGTTATACCAAACTTGACTTGACAGTAAAATCTCATAAATAAATTTAATCAAATAATTTACTAGTGATTAAAGACAAGTTTGTCAATTTAAAAACAGGTTATTGAGTTCAGAGACATTTGAGACACAATAGCAAATGTCACGATTGTTGGTGTTTAATTATATACATAATTATCCATCTATCCATCATCTATACACCGCTTAATCCTCACTAGGGTCACGGGGGGCTGGAGCCTATCCAAGCTGACTCAGGGTGAAGGCAGGGGACACCCTGGACAGGTCACCAGTCTATCACAGGGCTACACTTAGAGACAGACAACCAAGCACACTCACATTGAC